CTGCTTGAGCTTGCTGGACCACGTGGCCTTCGGATGCCCCCGCTGGCCCTCCTGGCCTGTCGGGGCGGGGGGCCACACTCAGCAGCCACGGGCCTATGGTCGGCAATCCTGCCTGGGTCGGGAGGGGAGGGTCCTCTTGAGGCATCTCCCCAGTTTTCTGAACAGGCTTTGTGGTTGGGAGGGGCTGAGAGCTACACTTAGTAGCAATGGGGCTGTGAATGAACTCCCCGTCTGGGCACCTCAGGGGAACCCTCCATCCCGGGTGCTGACTCTGCTCCGGGGGAGATCAGCTCTGCCTGCCCACCTCCTGGCTTGAGCCATCCTGGGCTGCGACTCAGCTCCCAGGCCTTGCAGCGGGGAGTGGGCAGATCAGGCTCCAGGGCTGGCCAGACTCCTCGTTTGAGGACCTGAGACCGGCAGACTTGCGCCCCGCCCAGTTCCCTGGTCTGATGGACTCAGTTCTGCAGCTGACAAAAGCTGCCGGTTGCGATTACTCCCTGGGCGCTGCAGGGAGGAGCTCCGTCTGCCGAGATCTGAGTGCTGCTTACAAGCCCCGCTCCCTTTCTCCATCACAATCAGATTCCCAGTGGTTGAGTCCCATGGATTTCCCCTGCAGTCCCTGCGGGGCGACAGAGGAGTAGCAGCCCTCACGAAGCCACCCACAATGCTGGGGCTGGGGTGGGGGGCTCCAGACATCCCCCCTGAGCTCTCTTCCCACTGGTGGGCTGTGCCGGCCTGGGGCAGGGGCAGTGCGATCAGTGACCACCCTTCTGGTGGGATCTGTCTCGATCTCTGTGGTGCGGGGTGGGGGTCACGGCAGCCTCACCCCCCTGTTCTAGGAGTCTCTCAGGAGCGCCTTGTCCACGAAGAGTTGTTATTTGTGCTCGTGAGGGTGGCGCAAACTCAGGAGTGGCCTATGTTCCCATCTTGCTGATGTCACTCAGTTAACTTCTGAAATGTGTGATTTCTATAAAAATGCCCAATCCTTCTAATAATTAAATATGATAAATTCACTGGAAGCTGAGTTAAGGAGTTCAGGCCAGTCATGTAATCTCATCAAATATCTTTAATTGTGAGGGTGCCTGGACTGGAGAGGAGGTGCTTCGGCTGTGGGGTGGGAGGTCTTGGAGGGTCTGACAGGCGTGCCCACCCCCCCCCCACTTTACTGTGTGCAGGAGCTTTAATTTAGCCTCACTGTTCTCTTATTCCGAATTAAATTACCCATCTAACAATATTTAAATTAACCTCGAGGCTTCCTGGAGAACATAAAAGTTATTTTGAATTATTTTCACTGCCAGGAGCGGCACAGTTCCCTTCCCAGCCAGCTCGGTAGGTGTTCAGTGATAGAGAAGCCCGTTGTTAAATTAATACAATTTTGTGTTTGTAAGGAAGCCATTATTTTTAATTATCGGGCATTTTCCTCAGCCTGGCTTCCCCAGTTAATAAAACTCAGCTACTTAGCATGGTTTTTATTTTTGCGGAGGGCAGACTTTGGGAAGTACTTTCCCCTGTGGCATCTCCCTCCAGAATGTTTTGATCTCACAAAGCACACGCCTGTCACAGGGAGGCTCGTAAAAAGCCCCGAGAAAAGGAAACGCTGTCGTCAAAAGGGCCCTGCTGGGCCTTTGACTGGTGACTCTAGCATAGCCTGGGAGGCAGTGCCAGGAGCTGGTGAAGTGAGGAAATTAACACTGGGCTGGATCCCCTCCTGGAAATGGCACTGTGGCACAGCAGGAGAGACTCCAGTTAGACTTACAGCAGAACCCTTTGCCCATACCGCTCTGAGTCTGGGAAACCCAGGCGAGATTAGGAAGGGAGGGCAAAAGATTCTCCCCAGATGTCTGGCAGTGTTAACAAGTAGAACTCCTGCCTTGGAGAACTGAGTTAATTTACCCACCCGGAGGAGAAGCCTGGCCTGGGTGTCATCTTCATTTCCTCTCTGGGTCTGTCCTCTGGGATGTAAAAAAGCAGCTCTCCCCAGTCCCCATGTAACAAGACCCCATGCTATGCTGGGATCAGTGCTAGTGCAGACAGAACAACTCGCTATAAATTTAATATTAGCTTAAATAATGCATAATTAGAAGGGTAAGCCTCTGCAAACACATTAAATAATGTATTCCCCAGGCAAACATTACTTTTGGATGACTTGCTGTTTTGGGTGGCGGCGAGGTGGGAAGGTAGAAAGCCCCGAATCTCAGCTGCGGTTTTGCCGCTGATTAGCTTTGTTGTCACAGAGCAGCGCCATCACCGGTCATCCCCGCGGTTCCTTATCTGTAATGGCCCGTGAGCTTCTGGTGGGCAGAGGCTTTACCTTCCTTTTCTTAGTATCGCTGTTATTTTGGAAAAGTGCTTGGTGCTCAGCAGACATTTGGGAATAAGGGGGTTGAGTAAGACCGAGTATAAGAACCCTGGCAGCTCTGATGAGTAAGGCGCTAACGTAAAAATTACCGAGAGGAGAAAATGGGAGCCGGACCCCCCATATCCGACAGGCTTCCTTTTTCCCAAAAAGTAATTTGGATCATTCTGGGAGGGCTCTCGAGAGCTGGAATTAGCAGAGGTCAGAGGGAGCGGATTTTAAAAATCACATTCATTCATTCATTCAACGTTGAGCACCTACTGTGTGCTCGTGACTATGATCAGCACATAAAATAGAGCAGGACAGTTGGGGCTCCTGCTCTCAGGAACTTGCGGGTCAGAGGAGGATAAAGACACAGGAACCAACAATGACAATCACGAGTGTGGTCGTGAGAGTCGACACAGGGAAGGCACTGTGGGATTGGAGGAGGGACAAGGAGCCAGAGCTGGGCCGACAAGGATGGTTTGCCAGAGGAAGTGCTGCCTCACCGGGGTGCAGTGTCTGAGACTTCAGAGGTGAAGGCAGGGGACAAGGCAGGGAGAACATTCCGGTGGGGTGGTAACAAAGGCCCTGTGCAGGCAGAGAGCATCCCTTTGGATGCTGTGGTCTAGTCTAGTGGAGGCAGGTGGTCCGTTGGTCAGGATGTGGCAGGGAGGACAGGGGTCTGCTATGGAGGCTCCACCCAGATGACCGGAACGGTCAAGTATGTTGCATGTCTGCTAAGCTCTAAAAAGAAAGGAAGACAGTTCCATCCTGCAGACGAATGCTCCACTGCATTCAACGTGGGTAAATCCGGGGAGGTACTTTTTTTTTTTTTTTTTACCAGCACCAATAAGGCCCTGATCCCTTGACCTTACCACCCCCAGCTAGTTTGCTCCAGCCACACTGGCTAGCCTTCTGCTCAGGATATAAGCAACAGTTTCTTCTGCCTCAGGGCCTTTGCGTATGCTGGAACCCTAGCACAGAAGGCTTTCCTCCCGTTCCTTGCCTGGAAAATTCCTACTCTTCATTCAGTTCTCAGCCCAAATGTCATTATCTTAGCACAGCCTAACCTAGATCAGATATTCCTTGCTATCTCAGCTGCATTTTTTTCCTTCAGAGCACCCATCGCAATCTCTTTATATTATTTGTGGTTTATTTGATTATTAACTATTTCCCCTTGCTACAGCACAAGCTCCATGAGGGTCTTTCCACTTTTCCACTGCACCATCAAAACAGCACGTCATCCAAAAATCACATGTGCTTGGGGGATACGTTGCTGAACGTGTTTGCAGAGGCTTACCCTTCTAATGACATATTATTTAAGGTAATATTAAATTTGTAGCAAGTTCTGCCTGCACAGGCCCTTCTCGTAATTCAGTGTCTTGTCTTCTCACGACTAGACCCTCAGTGCCTAGTACAGTGCCAGGAACATAATAGGTGTTTGAAAAAATGAAATATCAGTTGGTGCGGAATGAATGTGTGTGGCAGGCAGGGCTAATAGAATTCAGGCTTTTGTGATGACTGCTTCTGCGAACAGACAGACTTGAGTGGGCCCCGTGCAGAACTGAGTTCACGTGCGTGTGTTCGCAGGCACACAGGCACGTCTGCCTCCCACCTTGCTGCTGTGTCACTGTCATTTGCCACAAAAGTAAGAGTAACACAAGCCAACGTGTAATTGCAATGTCATATTAATTATATGGAAACCAAAACAAAATTACTAACTCCCACTTCTTCTCAGAATACTAATAACACTAATACCAATATCATGATGGAGGATTATCTTGGAAGCAATTTTTCTTTTGTTCTGCTACCTACACATGTAGCTGTTTCTTGCTTTTGCAACCTCTGTGTACATCATAATTGGGAGGAAATGCCCCAGAGGGTGGCTGTATGCCTTCTTCAGCAGAGAGAATCGTGCACTAAACCCACTTTAGGAAAGAGCAGGAGTTTTAAATCTGAATAGGAGGAGTTGATTTCAGTTCTCTCTTCAAAAAGTCTAGAAAAAAGCCTTGCTGGAGGGGAGGGGGCATGAATGCAGTAACAGAACCTCAGGGCTAGAGATTTGCTTTGTGATTAAATTAGGCTTTTGGAGGGATGGACTGTGAAGAATATGTCTGGGGGTGTGTGTGTGTGAGTGATTTAACCATCTCTTCCTTCTTGGGGTGCAGCACCCCCTTTCTCTAAGGTGTCCCCATCTAGGCAGTCTTACTGAGATATCCATCACAAGACACATGCATCCATATGGGACCCAGCCAATGACCAGCCTGGGAATGGGAGTGCCACTCCATCTGTACCAGGTCACTCATAGTTCTTCCAAGGGATTTTACTTTTGAATTCTGCAGGCGAGCCCTCCCTCTTCCCTCTGGGCTCACTAAGCTGAACTGGTAGCAACCTGGAGTCATCTTTAGCCAAGTCTGCCTGACTCCGCCTGACTCCCCAGGGTGAGGAGGTCACCAGTCGAACATAGGAGTAAATTAGGCTAAGAGTCAAGAGGAACATTGCTAAGAGATGGACGGGGCCTGAGAGGAAGATGTCAACCCGATGATACCATCCGAGCCTGTGAAGTCCCCAGGGCTGGCTCCTGTCTCGCGGGCCCGCTCGGCAAAGACAATGCATAGCCTTTTTATTGAGCTAATTTGAGTGTACTTTCTGTCTCTTGCAGGGGAAAGATTCCTGACAGACACAAAGGCATTTTTGCCCTAAGCACTTTCCAAGGGGAATCCTTCTGAGGGGCCACGGTCGGCGTATCCTCCTTTGTCACCCGCTGTCTGAGCGCCCATCACATGGCACCATCACCAGGGAGAAGCAGTGAGACGGAACTTGCGCTCCTGGAGCTTCCAGGTACCCTACTGCAGCAGCTTCATGACGCTTGTGAAGGGCAGAGTGGGAGGTGTCAGGGCAGGAAGGAGGAAGACTTTCAAACGCGATTCCTTGAGAAATCCCTGGGAGGCACACTGCACTGAAAACCTTGCCCACAGTGACTATGGGCAGGGACAGTCACTCCAGATTTTGCCCAAGCATCATGAAGCTTTTTGGTGGAAGAGGGTGGCTGTGGTCCATCTATCCACCGTCTCACATTTCACCAGCCTTTAGCTAAGAGCTGCTGACAAGTTCCTTGCCTAAGAGGTGCCCCCGGCTGGGTTGATGGAAGAAGGAGGACCGAGGTGGGTTAGCATTTCACTGGGCACTGTTCTGCTGGGATAGCGCCACTGGGGTTTCTGGTCCTCTCTGAACTCCAGGGCTGCTCCCAGGACTTTGCTAGTGCCCGGGAAAAGTCAGGTATTTGCTTCAATGCGTGAAACCCTCAGTTACTGCATCATAGAGCTCTCCAAATCCCCTGCCAGCCACTGGGCGGGGGGGGGGGGGCGGTGAGCAACATGGTTCCGGCTCAGTGGTCGCACTTTAAAATTCATCCCATTTCTTCCCCATTCCAAGAGGCAGGGCTAGGGCCTCCGGAATCTCACATCTCTGTGTTGGTGTTCAGTTTCCAGCCTCTCTCCTTCACAGAGCCCAGCAGGCCAGCCCCTGAAGTCCAGAGGGCTCCTTGGCTTCCCAGTCTGTATGCTCACAGAAAGGGCTCCTTAAAAAGGGGGGCATGACACAGCAACCCTGCTAACTGCCGTTAACTGTGTGGGCTCAGTAGCTCTCAGACCTCCCTCTCTGCTCGCGCTTTAGTTTCTTGTTTGGCTTCCTGCCACAGCCCCCGTGCCGTCCCTCCCCTCCTGTCCCCTTCTGAGCTACCTCCTCTACACCCGAGAGCTCGTTCCAACATAACAAACCCCAGCACGTCACTCTACTAATTGAACCCTGGAACAGCTAGCCGTCCCCACCGTCCTCAGGATGAACACCGGCCTCGTAAAATTCCCTTCCAGGTGCTGCCCTGACCAGCTTGCTCCTCCTCTGTCTGATCGCCCTTCGCCGATAGCTTTGCCTGGCCAATCCCTACTGCTCTGTACAACCGATGCCAACTCTTCTGTGAAGCAACCCTCAGCCCCGATCCAGATGGCAGAAGTCCCTGCTCCGGGGTCACCAGATCTCCTTGCAGGTAAGTTGGAGCCACCCCCTTGTGTTCTCCCCGGGGGAATGGCCATGATGCCTGCCACGGCCAGTCGTGCTCACCGCGCCCCTGATTTCGGGGCTTATTTGTTAACATCTGTTCACCTATCACAGCCCACCCTCTCCTGACTGACACCGGGACGCACCCCTTCCCCTGGGATCTTGGCCACTGTTACAGCTCACAGCACACACCTTACATGTCTTCTCCACTGGACTGTCAGCTCCTCTCTGGCTCGGAATTAGTTTTCATTCCCTCCCTTGAACCTGCTCATTCCACACTGCTTGACATACAGTTGGCACTTAGAAAACATCTTTTTTTTTTTAATGTGAAATATTGGTTTAATTTGCAGCCCCCATACAGAAGAGACGTAAACCGAAGAGAAAATAAAACTAGACAGCACACGGGGAAGCCAACACTTACAAAAAGGTAAGGGTCCCCAGAGAGTCCATTCCAGTGAGTATCTTTTGAATAAATGAAAAATTTCAGGCCCCATGTGACAGTACGCCCGACGGCCACCTTCGGTTTAGGGGCTGCAACGTCCCCGCCATGAGCTCAGGAAGCAGCTGACGGAAAGGATGCGCCCCGGGTGACTGAACCCACGTGACACCGCACTGCCCCTTCCTCCAACTGCGCCCCTGCAATTTCCAGGAGGTACTTTTATTTCATTCACTAAACAATTTATGAATTGAATTAAAAGAAATGAGATGCAAATAAATTCCAGGCTTTCTCCCTCATTTTCAAATTACATTTTCAGTCCACTCAACCTGTTATAATCTCATAGTGATTTTCATTTAAGAGAGCTAAATGGATATGTGATTATTGTTACAGGAACTAACAGCAGACAATTAAATGTTGAGGTGTTGATAGATAAAGCTGTGTTTCGATTTGCATAAACACGATGCCAGCAAATCTAACCCTGGCAGAAATTCAGTTATGAGACGTGCCTGCCTAACTTCTGCTAATTGCCACAAGTACCATTATTAAGATTTTTTAATATTCAGAGTTGGGATGGTAGCCATTTTATTTGAGGGCCACATTTATCTTTATTTTGAAAACTTAGTCAAAAAAGGCACGGCTGCTACTTAATAATCAAGTTGCACCGTGCAGTGTATCAAAAATCAATTACGCAGCCCTGAAATCCACTCATTAAGGATCTAGCTGCTAATCTCATTTCATTTTTGTCTTTAGGAAGACACTGCAGTTTGCAAACTTCGCAGATACCAGCAGAGGAAGAAAAACACGCGAGACTGCTGATAACCTCATGTGGAGCATTAAACTCCAACTAGACAGACAAAGGCGGAATCGGAATACGGAGTGGCCTGGCTCTGCATGGAGGGCACCCGGGCTGGATTCCAGTCCAATGCCACGGCGGAAGTTCTGTTGACGGTAAGCCTTCTAGTCTCGGGGATGCCAAAGGATTTTGTTAAACCCTGCCGTATTCCTGGTGACCATCTCAATGATTTTATTAATTTACTGATTATTGGCTGCTGCCCCTCCCCGCCCCGCCCGCTAAACAGCAGGCGGGCAGGGATGCTGTTTGGCGCACCTTGTAGCTCCAGTGCATTGCACAGCATCTGGATCCTCGGAGGGAGCTAGCTGGTCATCAGATGGGTGCTGAGTCTGATGAAGACCGGGAGCCCTAGGATCCTCCCCTGGGGCACGGGTTAGCATGGCGGTAAGACTCGCAGCCCCTCTCGGCGCCACACGGACGACCGTCGATCTAATCAGGGAGGTGTGAGGGCTGGTCAGCGAGCCTGACAGGAAGATGGAACTGGTGCTGAGTCCTGGCTTTGCCACTTTGCCACTTTGCCCCCGAGCAGGTTAGTTATTTAGCTCCTCAGAGACTCTGTTTCCTCAACTGAACGACGGAGCTACGAATGCCTACCCCCACAGGGCTGCTGAAGGTAAGATGATACAAGAAAAGCCCGGAACACAGTGCTTGCATCATAAACGTTATATATTGGTTTTGAAAGATGTCACTTCACTTGTGGGGAAGTGACCTAGTCTGGGAAAGCTAGGGTTGGTTAAAACGTCCTGCTGCAGCTTGCTTGCTGCGTCCTCCTGGGAAGCCTTCCCTGACCCCCGCAGGCTGGATGAGGGCCCCTCTTCTGGGATGCCGTCAAGCCCTGGGTGTTCCTCTATCTTCTCACTGAACCCATTGGATTGGCCTGAGTTTACAGCCTCTCCTGGACTGTCTGTCAACACCTTGAGTGTGTGAGTGTGAAGAGCACATTATAAAACTCTCATTCGTCTAGTATCCAGCAAGTCGCCCAGCACACAGTAGGCACGGGCACCCACTGATTGGCCAAGCTGGTCAAACAGTGCAGGCTGAGGGAGATGGTACGCGTGAAAGGAAGACCAAAGGGCGCTCTAGTTAGAGTTGAAGGTAGATCCCCACTTTTTCTGGTCCTCGGAAATGGAGAACGTCTTCCCCGAGGTCTGAGTCCCAGAGGGACAGGACTCCCGTGTCTCCTCCCGGGAAGAAAGGCGCGGTGGCGGCTCGGGAACCGGGCGGTTTCCTCAGCGCCTGAGGAAAGCGTGTGGCCCCTCCTACCCTGTGGCGACGAGTTGGGTAGAACTACTTACCCGGAGTTTCCTGCCAAAGATGGTGACTTTGCCTTTGATCTGTTCCTTCCTCAGGCGCCACTCGATGGAGTTCAGGCCGTTCTCCATGGGCAGAGAGATGTTGCAGCGCCCGATGGTGGGGGTGACGGTGCCCGCCAGGACGTGGGGCTCGCTGTGGAAGCTGACACCCATCCCGTTGGCATACATCACCCTCAGGGTGCCGTTGTTACAGAGCTGGTAGCTGTTCCTCACTTGATCTGGAGACATGGAGGGCGGGGTGGGGAGAGGGAAATAAATTATCCACGCTGTTAGTCAGAAGAGAACAGAGCCCCTATTTTTGTAGGTTTCCATGGTGCTCTGCAGCTGTCAGTCTAAGGCTGCCTTCAATTAGCACACGTACAATGTTAAGGTGTGTAGCAGAGATGCTACTGATCCGTGGAAAGAAAAACATTATTAATATGTGGCACTCCAGAAATAATTATGCTGTGATATTTTTCTTTTACTCACTGAAGACTATTAATAGTGCATTTAAACAGATAAAGATGTCTGCTGCCTACACACTTTGTGTCAATCAAATCTCTGATTTTTAACATATAGACGTTTTAGCTGAACTGGGGGGAAAAAAAAGAAAACTACTTAATATTAGTTTTTCCCTCTTGCCCACCATCTAACCTGCGGTTGATGGTCTCCCACAGGTCAGATCCACTGCAAATCCAGTCTTGGTTGGGTTCTTCAAGAAAAGAAACGGAAAAAGCAACCTTCCTGCCCGTCATGTGTCTGTCTCTACGAGGATGCCCCCTCCACTCAAGAGAAGCACGAGGTAGACTGAGCCAGTGGGCGCTGATAACATGTGCTTATCTTCCCAAATGGACTCTACAGTAGTCGGTCCGACTTCTGACCTTTTTTTCCCTTTATCGAAAAGTTCCAGGAAGCAAATGTGAGGCAGAGACGCCTGTGCCTGTTACAGGTAGGCTGCGTCCTGCTCAGGCAAAGGCGCCCAGCTGGTCTGGCCCCGGACTTGCTGGCTTTTGGAGTTGTGAGCCCGTGTGTACCTGTCACTCCTGCGACTGCAGCCGCCGTGCAGAAAGACAAACATCTACATCATCAATCATCTGGCAGAGCAGCAATAGAGTCATTGAAACAGGCTCTGTCGTGGGATAACAGTCCAGAAATGTCACCATTTATCTACTGAGAGGACGCTTTTAGCCTCTGACGATGGGCTGGCCCACTGACATTCTATCTTAATTAAAAGGAAACCTAATCTGCACAATTCCTTTGTGCTTCTCCTGGAATGTATGTCATGCCAACCAGTAACCATGGGGGTGGTCAGAAACCTTTGCGACCCCAGTGACTGCAGGATAACCGTCTCATCACAGAAGGGCATGAAGAGACTCAGAATGGGGCCAGGGTGCAAAGAGGTAAACAACCTGTGATTGACAGTTTCAGGTAAACATGTAACAGACCCCCCCCCCCAGCACAGCACGGCAGGTTGCTTGCAGACAGTGACATGCAGGTATCTTCGTGAAGTGCAACTCTGCAGTCCGGGCCCACGCGCCCTGCCGTGCCCTGCCCCCGGGCTTACCTTGCACCACTGTGTAGGAAGCCTCCACCGAGGACAGGTTGGTGATGACGGTGACGTCATCGTCACGGTTGGAGTTCTCGATGTCAATGGTAATGGATTTCTCCATTTCCCGGTGCAGGCTGGTCACCACCCCTGTGGGGCGTGTCACATTGGTCAGGCGGCCCTCGTGGTCATAACTGGAGAATAGACACACTGGTTAGCAGCAGCTACTAACCCTCAGCGCCACACGTGGGACAGACTCACAGGGCCACAGAAAGAGAAGCACTGGGAGGTGGCAGCACGCCGAGGCTCCTGTCAGTCACAGGCACCAAAACCTCCACCTGGGGAATGTAAATGGATGCAGCCACTACGGAGATTCATTAAAAGGCAAAAATTGAGTTCCCACATGATGGAGAGCCCCTCTCAATGCACACTGTACCACCACTGACAACAGGAAACCGGGAAACAAGCTGCGTGTCCACCGGCAGATGACAGAGGGAGAGTATCTGTATTCCCGAGTCACTGTGCTGTACACCTGACGTTAACACAACACTGTACATCAACTACACTTCAGTACCAAAACCCCTCTAAGCTGCCCAGAGAAACGGCGATCCTCTTTACCACCCCCTCAGGCAGGGTGTACTTAATTACACTTTGCCAAGTCGGTGAGAGCAAGCGACTTTACGCTGGTCACTTCACGTATGTGTTCCACGGAGCCACGAAGTTAAACTTCCTAAAAATGATCGCTTTCCTTATGTCGCTTCTCTGCAGAAGTAACTGTACCGTTTCCCCAGTGGTTGCTCAATCAAATGAAAACCTGGCATTTGAGACTACCCATGCTCTCGGTCTTCCACACTCACTCAGCCTGGGCCAAATGCCACCTCCGTGCCATGGAGCAAGCTCAGCAGCCTGGCCGCCTGTAACCATTCCTCAGGTCCCGTGCTCTGAGCGTTTTCCTAAGTCCTCAGCAGCCAGGTCTCAGTACACACCAGTGGTGAGTTCTGCAGCCTGCAAGTAGGCCCTCCTCCTTTCTGTAGCAGTGTCATCTTTACTCTGACAGGGCGTGTGTTTATTTTTTCCACCTCCTTTAGCAAGAAGCCCTCTCGTTCCTCTTGCTGGAACATGTCTGCACCCTGGAAGATGCTTTGGATTCAGAAGCCTGGCCCTCCTTCTGCCCTAGGAAAGAGAAGGAGACTCGCTCCAAGGTCTGCGTGTGGAGGACCTTGAGCGTGACCAGGTGAGACTTGTTACTGGAGAAGGGAGGCCAGCAGAGCGAGGAACGCGTTTTGCTTTCAGGGTTAGAAAGGAGGAAAAGCTGCTCAACGTCTGGCGTGTGACCTCCCCCCGCCCCAAGTCTGCGCAGGGACAAGGCTGGCAGGTTTGGAGCGATGAAGACTTCAGAAGCCTGTACCGGATGCGAGGGTAGAGAGGTTTCTGTGAACAGAACTGCTGGACTTTGTCACTCAGTGCCCAGGACAACAAAAGCAAATGTGCAGGGTGTGTGGGAAGTGTTTCTGGAA